AGTTAAAAACTCGTGACGAACTGTTTGTTTTCGTTCGGCCTCGGGGCCAGTTTTTAACGTTTAACGGTGACATTACAGAGACGTATCCTTGTCGAAGTCTTTTTCTATTCCGTTTTGGGGCGCCTATCAGCCATTGCTGCAGAAAAACCCAGACAAGTTAAGAAGCCATGTATAAATTTAAAAGTAGTAAAAGTATTTATATTTATAAATTTTGAAGTAATATTAAGCAATGGACCCGTGGTTTCATCATAAAAAGCTTTAATAATAATTCGTCTAGATGTTTCGGAGTTGAGCAACTAACTCATGAGGTGATAGTACATTGTGATCAGTGTTTCTTCCAGACTTTTTTCTCCGGGGGTGTGGGGGGGGGGGGGGGGCGGACACTGGTAAAATTATATGTATTATATATAAATTCCATTTTGTTGGGGGTGGGGAGGCTCCCCTGAAGAGATGCCCGGAAGAAACTCTGATTGCGTTAGCAGCTTGGTTTTTGTTTGAACTAGATCTAGACGTTCTGGAGTCTTGTCTACTGGCCTCTTATAAAATGGTTCTGTATCTTGAATCTTAGGAAAATGTATGTAATGTAACATGGCGCTTTCGAGGTATTTACTGGGATTAAGTGAACACTCATGTATATATTGGTATCATGTCCCCGTGATGTATTAGCTGTAACCCACACACCCGTAAAGCTGGATATGGATAGAATTGCCCATTTAACAGATGATTCTGGAGAGATGTAGTTTGCAGTCCTTATTCAAGCAAGACAGAGAACTCAAGAGAGGGCTGTAGTTGGCGGCTCATTCCCCAATAGGACAGAGAACTCGGAAGGGCCGTATACCTCAGCAGTAGTGGCGAGAAATGATGAAATCATAATATTTTAACTGTTGCCAACAATAAAAAAAAAAAAAACTTTAAAAAAAAATTCGGGCTAGGTCAAATTTCCAGTAAAATTAGCTTATCTTAATGTTCATAAAAGTATCGCTATTGTGACATTATATGTGGGTATGGCTAATAGGGCTGGTGTGTAGGTCACCAACCAATTCTAGCCTCAATAAAACCTGCTTACAAAGGACATTGTTTAGATTGGATTAGTTAGGAATTTCGAACTTGACAATTACGTAATAATAATTTATAATGTATGTATTAATTCAATAATGGTTGTTCATACCTCCCCATTTTAAAAGTGTTCACCTTGAAAATTTGTACTTGAAATGAAAATTACTAATCGGTGCTGGATGAACCCAGCCCATCATTCATAGCAACAACAACAACGATGGGCTGTCCCAAACTAGTCACCCACCCAACCAGACGTCTAAACCGTGACTCAGCCCTAGCAGACGACACCCGTCTTTGTTAGGATGAATGCCGCTCCGCCGACTACACAGGACTCCCCCGTCAATCCGGACCGGTTAACTTGTTAATGTTATTGTCCTTTCTGCATTGTACTGAGTCAATATTTTCTGATTTCACCATTAGGATTAGAAGGGCTAGAACTACGTTGCCACCAAAATTGCTTCTGTAGACATTTGCCGGTGATGATTAAAAAAAAAATGCTTGTTTATTTTATTCACGATGAATATAAAATGTGAGTGTATTAAGGCTACCGTGTCAAGCTGACCCCACTTCACCTGGTCCGTAGGTCTTCATGCATTGCCCAGTACAGTACAAATTAGAAACCTACAACCAACTACAGCACGTCGTTGTACAGTCCGACTTCTGACTTCTAGAATTGCTGCAGACTATACACACAAGCCTGACTCATACACCTGCCTGGTTGGGGGGGGGGGGGGGGAAGGAGCAAGGAAGTGAGTAGCTACTGCAAATTAAATTTGTGTATGATCTGGCCATGTCCGCTCAGCCTCTGTATGACATTGACAGGTGAAACAATTTCGTTCAGAGATGGCCACCTGGATGTCTTTGTGTACCCAAGAAAACAACCTTGAGTTTGTTATTTCAACTTTTAAACACCTTGGGTCTTCAGGTGCAGACTACTTCTGAGAAAGATGCCTATATTTGACACCCATTAACAATTTACTTGCAAGTTAATTAAGTTTATTTTTTTACTTTTTTTGGACATAGAGATTTATTTGTTTTTTTTCTTCAATTTTTCCATTGTAAACACTAAACTTCTTTAGGATTGTAAGTTACTAAAAATAAATAAAATTTGTTGTGTCATTTTTCAATAACTTTATTTCTAGTTAATTCTTATTTACCATTAGGGACTCCATACTTGAGTGTTTATTACAATATTTCATAGTAGATCTAGTAGCAAATATAAAGCTGCAGATGTAGGCTAAAACAATAATTCATTGCTACTTTTTGTGATATGCATAGTTTCCCAAGCAAATCCACTTTTACCTTGTATGGAGGACAGGTTTGTGTGTTTGAAGCTGTATACTTCCTCAAAGTAATGGCTTTATTCAACTCCAAAATAGGCCTTAAACTTAAACTTTTAATGTTCCAAATTTTATGTACTGTTTTTGACAGAATCCATTGATTATTGGATTTTACATCATTATAAATTGATTTGTATTGGAGTGGCAGTTCTACTTCTAGGTATGAGTTCAATTCTAATCTTTCCACAATTTAATGAGCTGAGCTAGCTCATATGAGTACCCAGTAGTGGTGGAAGTGCAACATGACAATGTTATGTGTCATGGTCATTACATAATTTTTGGACTCATTTGTCCTTGAAAATGTATTATTACTTTAAGATCATAACTATTGACACTTGGTATTGAATATCACAGCTGAAATAACTGAACCTAAAAATGTCCTGTGTTGCAACCCTTGAATTGTTGAATGAGTAAACCGCCACCAATAGTGCTACATATAACTCTTAATACATTATCTGAATTTGATTTTCACCAATATGTTTACCATGTAATTAAACACCCATAAACTGATAAGGTACAAGTGCAAGTCTTTCCCAAATCTATTACTGTATCTTGTAAATTAAAGCTGGCCACAAGTTTTTTAAATATTAAAATTAATATACATTTGGAGTTATAAAATTATATCAGGTGTTATTCACCAAATCACCACAAGAAAATGTTCTCAAGAAATCACTCATTAAAATCAGCACTGTGGTATTACTGTATTGAGTTAAAAAAAAAAACCCTTGAATAGCTACAAATGTTATTACAGTGAAATGTTTGAACAGTGTTCGGACCAAATTATATTTGTGCAGTATTGAAACCGTACTAATTCACATTATTTTCAGTGTAGCCTTTGATCAAGAGATGGAGCATCTGATTGCTCATCAGGATTCCTCAAGTCAAGCACCCCAGGGCAAGGATATAGATGACCAGATAAAAATATCAAGGAGGCTATGTATAGTGCAGACCACAAAGCCTTTAGTTACTTTACCATTTTACCACTATTAGTGGTGCATGTTGACCATGAAGGTCGCATGAAGATAACTTCTCACAAGAGTGCCTAATGATACTGATGATAGTATAAAATATTACAACCCTTTGAAACATTGTTGATACTGGCAGGTTGTTGACATCTACATTTCATAGACACACAGACAGGTGTATGTGATGTAACACATCACCTTTCTTCAATGTGTGTATATATTTATATATATATATATGCCTGAGCACTGAACTGTGGCTAAATTTTAGATCAAGTTGGTTAGTCATACCCAAACATATGATTAGAGGTGTGATCCCAAGGCTATAGTTTGTGCAAAAACTTAAACTGTTTAAATTAATAATACATGGGTTTGGCTAATCAAGTAAGCTCAGTGAAATATTTGTGAGCTGTTCTATTTTTAAACTATTTCATTAACATGAAAACAGCACATGGTTACAAAACAAATAAAATTAGAAGAAATAAAACAGTTTCATTGCTGGAATGGCATATTGTATTAATAAATTACTTTGTCATTTTTTGCATGTTTATTTGAGCACAAAAAAAGTGAATTCAATCTTTATAATTTTACCAGGTACATGTACAATTGTTTTGACACTCACAACCAGATAGGGACAAGAAGCTGTTTACAGGTAGACAGCAGAGGACTGCCCAGTTAAGCTTAATGAGCCTGCTGAAATGAGGGCCAATGTAAGCTGTCAGAACTTGTTCTTAACTCGACCATTCAACTTTCAATCTAACAAATCGAGGCACACACACTAGTTCTAGCATACAATAGCTAACAAACTATAAGTTAAAAGATTCAAACCCAAGGCACATTAACATAGATGACCACACAAATTATTGTAAAATATCTATAGTAATAACTGACTCTTAAACATTTTAAATCAAACAACCTATCTATAACTCTTTGAAAAATAATATTGCACTGCAGTTACTAAAGTTAACATGAATTTTAAAACTAAAAAAGTAACACTTTGTACTGGAAAATTTTTTAAAAAAAAAAGGCATATTACCAGTTATAACCTTAAACAAAAAATAAACGACTATTACTATCAAATTTTGTATTAAATTTAATACTGTACGCTTGTTTGTTATATTATAACTTTCATCCTAAGAAAAATAATCCAATCTTTGAGACAGGGTAAGGGTCACAAAAAGAAAAGCATGAAGCTCTAAACCTGGTATATCTTTTTACAGGTGAGTGTGAATTAAGAATAACAAAACTGTCCTTCCAAAACTGTAGCCATTTTGGTCCATACATCAATCAATGTCTCTGAGCCCTCCTGGCTGGACGATGTTTATATTGACCTCAGGTGCCTGGACACGTTCGCCCAACGTGTCCACTATCACAACGGCTAAAAAAATTGTCATACACTGCAGGAGTACCGTCCAGGTGGCAAAGTATAGTGCCTGGTTCCATCTCAGCACCTGTAATGTGCATGCTATGGTGGTCATGTTATTCAAGTTCCATGACCTTACTAAGGTCTATCTTCACTAGCCTTAGGTTTCCGAAGGTCTGGACTGACCAGTGGGGGGTCACTGGATTACTTGCAGGTGTACAACCCGTAAGGTTTAAAGTTCATTGTCGCTTATTCCATAACGAGCGATATATATTTCATTCATGCAGATAAGACAATAGCGTTCGGTAAAGTGTCCAATCGTCCAACTTGACTTGAGCACAAAAGAGATGAGTCACTTTGGTGTTTCCTAGAGTATGATGGGGAGGGAGACTCGGGTCGAAGTTTAGGAATTGGAGTAAACTGTGAAGAGCCAGAAATATCCAGATCGCTTTGGTAACCAGAAGAATCTGAGTCAGAATCACCGTTAACCACAGCACATAATCCGGAGAATCCTGAGTTAAAAATAGTTACCAAATTTGTTATTTGTGGCGAGTCTGACGTGTGCATAACATCCAACTCCGGCTCAGAGTCTGATTCGTCTGACGACAGGTCGAAGTCAGAAAGATAACTGTCTTTGGAAAATTGCGAATCATAACTTACGCGAGCCTTCTTGTTGGCCGGGCATTCTTTGTCCTGTGTTCCGGTGCTGGGGTTATCCCTACGCCGTTTTAAAATGTTACACGCAGTGGGTGTGTTAACTTGGTTTTCTAAAGAAGCCGATTGAACCTCTAAAGAAAGTAAATTTGAAGCAGTGAGATGATCGTCTGGTCGATTAGATTGTTTACTTTCAGAATTAGAAATCTCCTGTTTATCTGAAATAACGTACCTCGCTGGTGGTGCGTTTTCCTTGTCGTGTGTTTCTTGAATTGTCATTGGTTCGTGGGCATCCTCTCCGTGCCCCGTCGTTGCTGAGATCTCTGACCTACTTTCCACACTGGCAGTCGGCGTGGCCGTAGGCTGTACCAAGTTTGAGTCATGGGGTGTCTGACACACTTCCCCGTTATTGGACGCGTTGCTACACAGTGTGGAAGAGTTATTTTGCACCACTGGCGAAGAAAACTGGGCTTGTTGTTGCCCCTGTTGTAGTTTCTGTCGATGTAGATTCTGTTGGTAATTGTAAGACTCCATCATGTAGGCCGTCCTTGCCTTATGCAACACCGTAGCAACTAGCAGGTTTTTATGTAAATTAATCCCGCCACGTTGCCCGCGAGATTGTGCGATTTTACCAAGGCTCACTGAGATAAGTCGCTGTGTTTCAATACTAGCCGCCATTTCGTAAATGAAAGGCAAATTTTAGTCCAGAATGAAATGTTAAATCACTATTATTCCAGTCACAAAGAAATTATCTCACACAGGTTGGCAACAGTCAAGCACAGTTTAAATATAAGTTTTTTAAAAGTAAAATCCACGGAATGGCTCGACCGACCCTCTCTGTCGCACAGCCTCGTGAATATATGCGTGGTGCGTTTAGTGATATCCTGTTTTGAAAGGCGTGACGTCAATCGCTCCAGTTGCTATCCAATCAGAGTCGAGCTAGCCCACGACGTCATGAGATCCAACCAATGAAAATCTGGGTGTATAAAAGAAGAAAGAAAATTACCATCATGACCTGTTCGTGCTAAATAAAGAACTGACCTTCCAAATAAAGTCAAACAGCGTTGGCAAGTAGGAGCTAAGAAAGAGAGGGATGGGGTGTGGGGGGAAAACTACACTAGGCCATTGACTCGCAGCGTCAGCCTACACAACTAGTTGGTTCTACGATCTAATCGTGAAGTTTTTAAGTTCTTGTTTGGCATCTTTAGTATAAAAAAAAAAATATTCTCTCAAATTATATTATCTAGTTTAAAAGCTATACCGTTTAAGTTCATGATGGGTTTATAATTCGAATTACTTTCACCTCCGTGCTGTTTGTTTTAAATATTATATTAATTATATGACTCTGAGTCATGTTTAATTACATCTGATCAGGGGCGTAGCGAGGGGGGGGGCGGGGGGTGCGGACCGCACCGGGTGACACCATTTAGGGGGGGTGACACCAAGGCAAAAAATGGCAAAATATAGAGAGAAAAACTTGAGGGGGGGGGGTGCAAATCGAAAGTTTGAGGGGGGGGGGGTGCAAATCGAAAACTTGAGGGGGGGGGGGTGCAAATCGAAAACTTGAAAGTTTGTCCCCGGTAAGGGTCGCAACGCCTCTGGGGGGGGGGGGGGTGACACCATTGAGTGCCGCACCGGGTGACACCCGACCTCGCTACGCCACTGCATCTGATAAGGCATTCATGACTTTTGCTCATCTACTTATTTTTCTCTCCTACTTATGACTAATTTGAATTATTCACTCATCCAGATGGGAAATTCCTTGTTAGTAAAATCTAAACTAAATAAAAACAGCAATTAAAAAGCATAATGTTCTTTGGCTTTTGGGATAGTTAGGGTTTGTAGATATGGTTTGGTTAGGGATAGAAGTAGGCGTCATTTTAGACTTTACTGGCTAGAGGATAATGTGGGCGTGGCTTATTGACTAGTAAACTTCCTGATAGCTATTTTAAGATCGGGATAAGTGCAGTAAATAGCAAAACCACCCTTCTGCATATGGTTAATCGACATGGTATGACAGGTGCCGATGCTTAAAACCCCAAATGAAACACTGTGTTAAAGTATCGATTTCCGATGTAGGCTACGTAGGCTCAGCTAATTTAAAATACAAATTTCTCTGTTTCTGTGAAATCATAAGTAGTTAGGAATTAAACGCTTGTAAATCGTCTATTTTGAGTTGTGTATGTGTGTGTCCGAATTTCAGGATTAAAAACCGAAATTTTAATTCCATTTAAAAAGATGATGTAAACCCATCCCAGCTTCGCGGATACAGGACACTAAAAATAGCTGAGTCGAGAAATCGCCCGCCGCTATATTTAGTCTACGGCGGGATAAAGGAAAATGTTCGGTGTCTCGATGGTTGTGCAATATCAGGGCAACTACAGATTACGAGACAAACAGTATACGCACACGCCCCTTTTGCACACATGCGAAGTCATTGTTCAAAGTCAACTCAGTATCGTTCACAGTCATCCGTGCATTTTCAGTCATCCATGTAATCGTTCAGTCAAACCTGCATTTTTCACATTCATTCCTGTATTTCAGTCATTTCTGCATTTTTCACATCCGTTCCTGTATTTCAGTCATTTCTGCATTTTTCAACCATACCTGCATTATCTAGTCATCAGTCTATTGCTCATAGTCATCAATGTATTGTTCACAGTCATCACTGCATTATTCAGTCATCGCATTCGCTACACTGTTAATCAAATTCACTTATTATGAAAACGCCCGCATGAGAAGATATTAATCACTACAACAAGGATTTTTAAAAATAAAAACCTACATTCATAGCTATCATCAGGGATAGGTTACGGGAAAGGGTAGCAATACTAGCATTAAATACCCACGAATATTTCAAACACCGTATGAATAGGTACATACCTATCTACCTGTTCGGTCACCAGCAGAGGCGTAGCGAGAAGGGGTGGGGGGGGGGGCGGGGGGGACATATATCTCCGGGCGCCGACCTTAGGGGGCGCCAAAATGGGATGAAAAAACAAAATGAAAGTTTGAGGGGGGTGTAAATCAAAAGTTTGAGAGGAGTGCAAATCGAAAGTTTCTCCCCGGGCGCCGGAAAGGGTCGCTACGCCTCTGGTCAGCAGGTACGTGAAAACCAACCTTTCGCCTCCATACCTTATTGCACGCCCTTTTGATTTACTATTGCTCAGTACAGTTCACCCACTCTCACCCCTTAACCCCCCACCCCCTTACCACCATCCCGAAATCTACAAACGTATCAAAATGTGTAGTGAATGATGTGCAATAACTGTTGCATATAAAATTACTGTTTCTATGTTATATGCAATTATGATGCAGGAAAGTTTGATCTTTTCTTGTATTTTTAATCCGCTCCTCAACGCTTTGTGATCTAAGTGTCAGTTTCATTGATCATTATATCAATCTGATGCTAAGAGCTTTATCCTAGCTTATGCCCAGTAAGCAAGGCTTTACAATAACCGCTGATGGCATTAGGGGCTAACAAGTCTTTTTTTTTTTGTTAAATATAATAATGATTTTAATGCCGTTGTATAGGTAGGAAACGTCATTTTGTTTTTAAATGTAATTGTCTCAGACATGTAATTTACAGCGTCAGTTAGCCTTGCCATGTTCACTTTAGTATTACAGTTTTCATCATCGGCTTGTGAGGACTGATACGGATTTACAATAGTAATACTTTTTTTTCTTACATGTTCTAGATGATTTACTTTAATACTTATACAGAATACAAAACGTCTAATTTTAATTTTGTTTTTAAACCTGAAAAATGTAAATGTGTAATTAAAATGGTGATTCAATATGCTGTGGAGAGAAGGAAAAAAATGTTTTTAAAAAAGTAATAGAGCAATTTTCTTTTTCTGTGGGTGGGTTGAGGAAGTATTAGCTTATAAGAGCAATGTTCTTTTCCTGGGGGTGGGTTAAGGGAGTATTAACTTATATGAGCAATTTTCTTTTTCTGGGGGTGGGTTGAGGAAGTATTAGCTTATAAGAGCAATGTTCTTTTCCTGGAGGTGGGTTAAGGGAGTATTAACTTATATGAGCAATTTTCTTTTTCTGGGGGTGGGTTGAGGAAGTATTAGCTTATAAGAGCAATGTTCTTTTCCTGGAGGTGGGTTAAGGGAGTATTAACTTATATGAGCAATTTTCTTTTTCTGGGGGTGGGTTGAGGAAGTATTAGCTTATAAGAGCAATGTTCTTTTCCTGGAGGTGGGTTAAGGGAGTATTAACTTATATGAGCAATTTTCTTTTTCTGGGGGTGGGTTGAGGAAGTATTAGCTTATAAGAGCAATGTTCTTTTCCTGGAGGTGGGTTAAGGGAGTATTAACTTATATGAGCAATTTTCTTTTTCTGGGGGTGGGTTGAGGAAGTATTAGCTTATAAGAGCAATTTTCTTTTTCTGAGGGTGGATTAAGGGAGTATTAACTTATATGAGCCATTTTCTTTTTCTGGGGGTGGGTTGAGGAAATATTAGCTTATAAGAGCAATTTTCTTTTTCTGAGGGTGGATTAAGGGAGTATTAACTTATATGAGCCATTTTCTTTTTCTGGGGGTGGGTTGAGGAAGTATTAGCTTATAAGAGCAATTTTCTTTTTCTGAGGGTGGATTAAGGGAGTATTAACTTATATGAGCAATTTTCTTTTTCTGGGGGTGGGTTGAGGAAGTATTAGCTTATAAGAGCAATTTTCTTTTTCTGAGGGTGGATTAAGGGAGTATTAACTTATATGAGCCATTTTCTTTTTCTGGGGGTGGGTTGAGGAAATATTAGCTTATAAGAGCAATTTTCTTTTTCTGAGGGCGGATTAAGGGAGTATTAACTTATATGAGCCATTTTCTTTTTCTGGGGGTGGGTTGAGGAAGTATTAGCTTATAAGAGCAATTTTCTTTTTCTGAGGGTGGATTAAGGGAGTATTAACTTATATGAGCCATTTTCTTTTTCTGGGGGTGGGTTGAGGAAGTATTAGCTTATATGAGCAATTTTCTTTTTCTGGGGGTGGGTTGAGGAAGTATTAGCTTATATGAGCAATTTTCTTTTTCTGGGGGTGGGTTGAGGAAGTATTAGCTTATATGAGCAATTTTCTTTTTCTGGGGGTGGGTTGAGGAAGTATTAGCTTATATGAGCAATTTTCTTTTTCTGGGGGTGGGTTGAGGAAGTATTAACTTATAACTAGAGCTGAAAGGGAGATAAAAGGAGAATAATATTGTAAATATTATAAGCAGCATGGATGATAAGTAGAGTAAAATGAGACACAACGTCAAGCAGCTGCATCCGCAGCAGTCCTGCTACGTTTCTTTTTTATTTTATTTTAAACATCAATAAAGACAAATAATAATTATTAATGTTGTGTATTTATGCAGTTTCAATGACATGATCATAAAGGTTTTAGTATTTTAGTGAATTGAGTAATATGGCATTTAAAAACAAAAGAATTATGCAATTTACTTATGATGCAAACTGCCTAATAAGTTTAAGAAGGGGAAATGAATGTATAAATATAAATAAGAGTTGTAGTTGTAATGTTTTTGAACTGTTGCATAACGTGTATTTTTTTATACAGATGGTCACAATTTCCTGTTTTTGTGTTATATAATAATTATATAATATGTGCGCAGCCCCCAGGGCGCGTGTCGTTTTAAGCTAATTAGTATTGATCATCAGTGAATCGGATTTTAAAATAGAA